GTGGTAGTCAGCACATTGCTCTCCAGCACATCCTCATTGTGGTCATAGAGCAGAATGGGCATAATGCATAGCCTGGTGTCAGCTGCATGGTCTTGATGTGCAGGTACTTGACAAACTGCTTAACCAAGGGTTGAATAGTTGATATTTGCTAGATATAAAATTATTCAAGGATGGGCCAGCTCGCTACACTGCACACCATCCCACTTGCAGGTTCTGTCTTGGGTTGTCCCTATGATACCTTAAAAATCAGCACAGGGGCAGCACCATTTAATGTGCTTGTTTTTCCCCCACAAATAGTGTATGGAAAGAGCTGCAGTCAGAAAACCATGGCATTACACCAAGGTCACATTATGACAATTATCAGCAAAGACAGAACCCACCACACGGTAAGGTGAAGCGAGCTACACTCTGATATAATAATACTCATAAAGAATAGATAAACAAAATTATCTGCTAACTTAGTTGACATGTTTAATAACAACAGGTGATAGCTTGTAAATTTATACCGTGTAATAAAAAGGGTGTTCAAACTGAATAATAATGCAAGAAAAGTTAGTAGTAAAACTATGTGACAAGCCCAATGTTTAAATATGCGCCATTTTATTGAAGACAATAGACAGGCATTATCCTCCACACCAGTAAAGACGATATTTTTGTATTGCATCAAACGACACAATATTTTTTTCTTAATTAGCGGCATTGGTTTTCTATCCTTTGTATGTGTTGTTTATTAGTACCTTGTTTATTACTAGTGTTCATTTGTTTCTTCCTAAATGTGTGTGTGTGTGCTTGTGTGCATCTTGGTTTTTTTACTAGGTAGCCTTGAACTCTCGCCAACAAAACATGTAGCGACAAAAAAAGCTAAGCATCGAGTTTTTCCTGAAGCCGGTTATTGGCATTAAACACTCGCACCTCCAGCATGTTTTCCAGCGAGTACTTTCGCGAGTCCGCCCAGTCGATAGGCATGTACCGCCACTCGGCCAGCTGCCACGTGCCGTCGTAGAAGGACAGCGACGGATGACCCGTGTCCTGCAAAATGCGCTCCTCCGCCAGGCACCCGGGGGCCGCCAGCAAGTCTTTGCTCGCAGTATCGGCCTGCGCGTCATTGTCTAGCAACTTTGACACGCGCTCGATGCTCGTCTGGTACTCGGCCTGGGACAGGTATGGCGGCGAGCTTAGCGGCTTGCCGCCGAGCACACACTTCCATTGCGCGCGCGCCATGTCGACCCACTGCGTGTCCAATGTGCTGTGCTCGGCCAGGTACAGGTTGCCCAGGCCGAAGCGCGCAATCACCGCCAGGTAGTGGTCGCGCTCGATCAGCGGCATCAGGCGCAGCAGGCGTAGGAACGTGTCACAGGCAATCGGCCCCAGGTCGGGCAGGCTCGCGTACTCGGCGTCGGACGGCGGCGTCCCTGATGGCGGCGGAGCCTCTGAAGCTTTAGACTTTGAAGAAGCATCCGACCCCGACGGAGTCGGTGACCCAGAATACCCCGATGATGCCAACGTAGCCACAAACGACGGGTAGGACAGCTCGCGCAGCACAGCGCCCTTGGTCAGCAGCAGCACTGCCAGATCGTCATAGTAGTAAAGGTGGCGGTACGGGTGCTCGGGCGCACGGCTAATTGGCGCAAAGTGCGTCAGATGCGCGATCTCACGCTCAACCTCGTCGCGCAGCACAAGCAGGCGCTCGTGTGGCATCTTGCTGTACAAGTTCCATGCGTGCAGCAGTTCCAGACCGGGCCGCATCAGGAAGCACTCTTGTTGGTGGAACTTTTTGGACTTGCGGATGACAAACTTTTCGATCGGGATCGACTTGCCGGCGACCTTGCGCTTGAGCGTCGGCACCAGCTCCATCAGGCCGCGCACAATGTCCAGCACGCGCCGCTGCTCGTCGGTCAGCTGCGTAGTGCGCGCAGGCGCGTTGCCGCCGCACAGCGTCAGGTAGTGCTCCCACATGCAGCACGCGAGCGAGTACGTGTACACGGCCTTGTTCCAGTTGTTTTCGTTGCGCAGCAGGTTGAAGCCCTCAGCCGCGTCCAGCCACCGCCCGAGCGACATCAGGCACAGCGACCGCTCCCAGTGGCCCAGATACTGCAGCTGCCGCCACTCGCTAACACTGGACGTGCTCTCGCCCACCACGCCTGGCCGTGTCGGCAGTGGCGGCGGCTGGTCCTCGTCCGCCTCGCTTGTTGTCATCGCCGCCAGCTCCGAAATAAGCCCCGACTCGGCCTCTTCCTCAGAGCCAACAGAGCGGCTCGGCAACTTGCCCTCATCCTCAGTGCCCGCCGCCCTTGTCGTGCCGCGCAGGTGCATGCTCTCCACCGCGCCCCTGCCCATTCTAACCAGCTCGCCGAACCGTTCGATTGCCTCGCGCATGCGCGTGCGCGTCATGAGGAAGCGGCCCTCAAAGTAGATGTAGATCAGCCCGCTAGGGTGCTGCTGTAGCGAGCGCTGGAGCACAACCTCGACCAGCGGGAAGTTCGGGTAGCCCAGATACAGGTCGTTACACAAAAACACGTGGTACCCTTGCAGCACAATCGCACAAAACTCGGAGCGCAGCCCGTAACCGCACGGATGGATGCCGCCAGCCTTTGCCTTGCCGCCGGTGCGTGCCTCTGCGGGCGCCGCGCCCATGAGCTTCGCGGTCTCGGGATCCGCGCGCCAGCCGGCAGCAACGGCCAGCAGCTCGAGGCCGAGGCTACGGTCCGCAGTGAAGCCCACCAGCTCGATAAAGCGCAGCAGCCGCGCCGGCATCATGCTCAGCACCAGATTGAACACGCCCATGCCCAGATACGTGCCGCTGACAAAGTGGTCATCCACGCGCTCGCCGCTCGCATGCGCGTCCTGGATGTACGCGTAGCAGTTGCGGTACGTGGCATAGGCCGAGCGCACGTGCCAGCCCTCCTTCAGCAGCGCCAGCATCCCGTCGCCCACCGCAATGTTCAGCATCGCGCGCAGCAGATACGCCTCGGCGTGCACCAGCTCCGCATGACGCTGCACGGCCGTCATCGACTTTAGCGCGTGCCACTCGGGCCGGCTAATCCCAATCGCTTGCGTGCCTGTGCGCACTGCGCCAATGACCGAGTCGGCCATTGTCGCGATCCCCGACGCCCACGAGCGCTGCTGCGGCCGGTCCAGCGCCGGCTCGCCCTCGTCGCTGTCGTCAAACACGGGCGCTGGCGTGCTGTCCGAGTCCTGCAGCTCGCTGTACTTTGCGTCGAGCATCGCCAGATCGAGATCGGGCTTGTCCTCGCCCGCCATATCGCTCACGCTCGCCACAGACACTGCGTCGTCCGCCACGTGCCCGTTCTTGGCCTTCTTCTCGCGCAGAATCAGCCGCGGCGAGTCCATGCGGAACCACCCGCGCGCCTTGCTGCCCTCGCTGGCGCTGGTGTCCGACGCCGCCCCGTCCTGACCATGGTTGGCGTGGCGATGGCGGCCACTCGCCGGCGACGATGCCCGCGAGCTCGACGCAGATAACATCGACGTTACGCCGCGCGGCTTGCGAAAGTGCTGCGCCAGATGGATCGTGCCCTCGGCCGCCTGCTGTGCCGCGGACATCGCCTCCTGCGTAAACGTCATCATCGCGCGCAGGTACTGGATCGCAGCATAGCCCTCGGATGCGTACAGCAGGCTGTGCCGCTTCCGGTGCAGCAGCTGTTCGATCTTTTCAAAGTCCGAATCCAGAAACAGCCACACCGCCTGCATCGCCAGCTCGACGCCTCGCTGCAACGGGTCATCTTCCGCGACCCCTGCGATACCGCTTGCCTGCGGACATGCGTTTGCAAGCCCGCACGAAGCGCTGCGTTCCTTGTCCAACATTATACTTTGGACTGTATTACTGCCAAAAAATATTCTCGGATAAACTTTTAAACTACCGCGACAAAACGAAAAAAAAAAAAGAAAGCGGAGAAGAAATGCTGCGGGGGGGAAGTGGAGTTTCAAAAGAAGAAAATAAACGCCTCCCTTTGGAGCCTAGAATTCCCCTATGGCCCTCTTTGCATTGAGCTTTGCCGCATTTGGCTATGCAGAGTATGCGGTCGGGTTGAGGTGACCGCAATGTCCGCAGGTGCGCAGCTCCTCGCTGGCCTTGTACTCGTTGATAATCGGCACCAGGTCCCGGTCCAGACTCTCGCACACAAACCACCTTTCGTGCACAACCCGGCCGCACTGCTCACAATACCAGCGCATGGCCTCCTTCTGCCCGCCACGCTTGCGCTCAATCACCAGCCCCACAGTATCGGCAAACCGGTTTGGGCTGTGCGGCGTCAGCGCCGGCAGCAAGAGCATGCCGCCCTCCTCGATGTACTCGTCTGTGATCTCGTGTGTCTGTGGATCTGCCATCCGCAGCAGCATGCGGCCCTTTACCTGGTAGAACCACTCCTCGGTCGGGTTGATGTGGAAGTCTGTGCGCGAGTTGGGCCCGCCGACCACCATGATCTGAAAGTCCTCGCCCTCCTGGAACACGCAGTTGCACACCGGCGGCTGCAGCCGGTGCTGGTTGTCTCTTAGCCACCGTGGAAAGTTCAGCGACGACGGCAATACCATTATTACAATATGTTTTTTCTTTGAGTTTACGTAAGCTTGTTGAGGCAAGATAACGCTTTGCTCAATGGGTTCTAGGCTCCGCAGGTTTATTTCAGGGATCTCCACTCTAAAATTGTACCATGTGATTGGGACGCTTGTTCTCTTCTTGTTTTTACTTTTCTAATATATTTTTTTTTGCAATGGCGCTGGGTAAAGTTGTGCATTTCGGCGTCGACCTGGTTCTGCTCTCCACCGCGCTGGCCGCCGTTCACCGCGCTACTGGCTACAAACTCAACACCTCCCGCCTGACCGACAGCAAAACAATCGACTCCTACGTCGAAAAGTACCTGCTGCTCGGCGAATCCACGCTCGACTACACCGCCGACCAGATGCGCGCATTTCCAAAGTACTTTTCCAAGGACTAGAGCCGCAGCAAATAAAAAAAAATACACCACCCATCCGAACAGCAAAAATGTCGCAACCCGGGCTTGAACCGGGGACCTTGAGTGTGTTAGACTCACGTGATAAACCAACTACACTATCGCGACGGATAAACCGAATTAATGGTCTATTCGCACTCACACGTGCTTATTCCTGGCAACTTAAATGAGGTATATCATTGTACGTATTAAAATAAATTGAATGATCCCGCATTTTGACATTTGTGTCTTCAAGTTTACCACTCGTGCTTACGTGTATTAGATACGGTAAAAATAGTATTTTTATACAAATTCAGCATCTGTAGTTCTATTCTATTCTTGCGAATAAAACCATTTCAAACAGAATATAATAGTATTTGGTCTGGTCCAGCTACGCGTTTGTGGTGTCTATTATTTGTATACTCTTATGCCGAGGTCTGATCACCAGTCTCTTACGCTGGGTGCAACTGAGGCTGAAACCAATATTTTGTTGCTGTTAATGTTAATGTTAATTAGGATATTTTTTTCTGGTGTGTCATAAAATTATTGACGCATTTACGCTTGACCAACTGCTCTTCTTTTCCCTGTTTCATTTTACGCTTTTGTTCCACTACTGCCATTTACAAATGCTGCTGAACTGCACCCTCCAGTCCAGGTTCGGTTATATTGGCTTTGATTGAACTGCCGCTTAATTAGATAAGCAAAATGGCTGCTTCATCATGCCATTTGCTATGAAGAGGCTCCAAATGTGTTTGGTTTTGGAAACTTGGATTCCTTGTGTACTATAACAAGATATTCTAAGTTTTAAAAACTAAACTTTTTGGAGTTTTTTCACGCTCATGGCAAGTAACAAAGACATTTTTTTTTATCATGTGGCTGTTCAATGTAAGTACAAAATTCGAAACACAATATTATTTTTCATATTAATTTTGGCACAGTCTATACTAAACGGGCGTAGTCTTTAATTGCAGCTAGTTATGAATTCTTTAAAAATCAGTAATTATCTTTGCTGCAAGCCATGAAAGCTACTGCAATCTTTTGACTTGCAAACGCATATCCGCTGTTCATGTGACACTGTCGGGCTGACCCATTAAAAGTAGGCGTGACCAGAAAGACACAAAACGATCATTCGGTGCCCACTCTTTGCGTTTCCAAAAAAGCTAGTTATTTTTTGTCTGTTTAATTTGTAATATAATGTCGAAATGAGCTACAACACCACAAGCGAGCAGTTTGTTGACTTTAGCTTCTGCGAGTCCAAGGATATTGGCGAGTTTGTGTCAATCCACGTTGACCAGCTCTGGGGCAGCTTTGGAACGGCGCCTGCCTCGCGCGGCAAGCGCATGCTGCGAGAGCATTTGCAGAAGAGTGGGCTGGATGATTCGATGGACGAAGACGCGGAGCAGCTAGTGTTTGTGACGGTGCAGCTGTTTAGCTCGGGGATCGCCACATCGCTGCCGCTTCAGACAAAGTACAAACAGACGCGTGGCGGGCGGCCGGCATGGGGCGAGTGGATCCGGTTTCCGACAAAGTACTCGGAGCTGGCCGAGGACGCGTATGTCTCGGTTGGGCTGTGGGACATGCGCGGGCTGTGGGATGTTCGGCAGGTGGGTATGTGTCGGGTCGCGCTGTTTGAGTCGGATAGAGAGCTGATACAGGGCAAGCGGCGACTGAAGCTCACGCTAAACGAAGGCGATAAGAAAGCGGCGGATAATGCGGGTAAAGGGCAGCAGCTAAAGTATGACGCGCTGTTTGAGACCCTGCGGCAGTACGACGACGGCGACGTTGCGCGCGTCGACTGGCTGGACGAGTTGGCGATGGAGAAGATTGGCGAGATCCGAGACGCCGAGCAGGGGCAAGCGACGTCACTTTATATACACATTGGCTTCCCGCAGTTTGACTTTGCGGTGCTGTTCGGCGAGACCAAGCTGGACGACCCGCTGGTGCTGCAACCGCAAAGCGCCAAATTCTGCGTTGCGTTTGATCCGGAAATGTACCGCGACAACCCAGCAGAGAGCAAGCACCGGCGGTTGCTGCGCGGGTACCGCAGCGAGTCGCTGGACCGCGAGCTCAAGCCCAACTCGGCGATCCGCGACCAGCTGAACACAGTGATGCGGTACCCGCCGGGGCAGACGCTGAGCGACAATGAGAAAAACGTCGTATGGAAGTTCCGGTTCTATCTATCGTCAAACAAGCGCGCACTGACAAAGTTTGTAAGGTGCGTGGACTGGAATGACCCGATTGAGGCCAAGCAGGCGACAGCGCTGCTGGGCGAGTGGGCTGAGATCTCGATTGACGACGCGCTGGAGCTGCTCAGCGCGAACTTCACCAACCACGCGGTGCGTAGCTACGCGGTGGGCCAGCTGCGCCGGGCCACCGACGATGAGCTCGTGCAGTATCTGCTGCAGCTTGTCCAGGCGATCAAGTTTGAGTACATGAACGCCGCCATGGCGCAGGGCGTGGAGGCCGGTGCTGCCGATGACTGGTCGCGCGCGATGTTTGCGCACGAGTCTAGCTTGGCCGGGTTTCTGGTTGAGCGTGCGCTGGGTAATGCAACGCTGGGCAACTTCTTCTACTGGTACCTAATGGTCGAGTGCGATGACCGCAAAACCGGCAAGGCGTACGCCAAAGTTGTGTTCCACTTTGTCAACGCTCTTTCGCAACGCGATGGCGGACACCACACGCAGCGCGTGTTCGAGCGCCAGGGACAGCTTGTATCGGATCTGGCGCGCATCTGCACCGAGATCCAGCAGCTCAAGGAGCCGCGCGCACGCAAGGTTGAGCGCCTGCGCGAGCACCTGGCTGATCCCAAAAACGGTCTGTTGTCGTTTGCCGCGCTGCCGCTGCCGCTCGATCCGACCGTCGAAGTTGTCGGCATCCACGCCGAGCGCGCGTCGGTCTTCAAAAGCACAATGATGCCGTTGTTCTTGCACTTTGAGACCAGCGACGGCGGTGTGTACCCGGTAATTTTCAAGGCCGGCGACGACATGCGCCAGGACCAGCTCGTTGTGCAGATCATTACGCTGATGGACCGCCTGCTGCGCAAGGAGAGTTTGGATCTGCGGCTGACGCCGTACCGCGTGCTGGCCACTCGCGCCGATCAGGGAATGTCGCAGTTCATCGCGTCGCAGTCTCTGGCCGCGATCTTGGCTGAAAACAACAATAGCATTCTGGCCTATCTGCGCAAAGCCAATCCTGATCCAGACGGTCCTTACGGCGTGGCCGCAGACGTCATGGAGACGTACGTCAAGAGCTGCGCCGGATACTGTGTGATTACCTACCTGCTCGGCGTCGGCGACCGCCACCTCGACAATCTGCTTCTGACACCGCAGGGCCATCTGTTCCACGTGGACTTTGGCTACATTCTGGGCCGCGACCCGAAGCCGTTCCCGCCACCGATGAAGCTCTGCAAGGAGATGGTCGAGGCCATGGGCGGCATGGACTCGCTGACGTACCAGCGGTTTAAGTCGCATTGCTTTGTTGCGTTCAGCATTCTGCGCAAGTCATCGAACCTGATACTCAACCTGTTTTCGCTGATGGGCCACTCGAATATCCCTGATATTGCGGTGGCCCCTGACCAAGTCGTGGCGATGGTCCAAGACAAGTTTCGCCTGGATCTGTCCGAGGAGGATGCCATGCGGTTCTTCCAGACACTGATTAGTGACAGTGTGCGCGCGTTGTTCCCGCAAGTGATTGAGACAATTCACAAGTGGGCACAGTACTGGCGGAATTGAGTATTTTATTTCTAGGGTTTGTTAGTAACAGAAACATTGCCAATATAAATGCATAAATTTATGAATAATCTATTCTAAGAGTAAATGTTCTAAAGTCTATAAAAGTCTATAAAATATTGGATAGCTTTAGGCAACGACGTTGGCGTTGTTGAATGTGTTCACGTTGTTGTTGGCCACGGTGGCATCTTTGTTGTTGACATAGAGAGTATCATCATTGAAATGAGCAAAGTTGTTGTCGGCGTTGAAAGTATTGGTAATGCTGGATGCAAACGGAATGCCCCAGCCGCCATATCCTATGCCACCATAGCCAACACCACCATAGCCAATACCACCATATCCGATACCGCCGTAGCCAATGCCACCACAGCTGCCACAGCGCTTGGCCATATGAGGCACAGGGTTGGCCAACGTAGTCGCAGCAAGGCCCAGAGCGGCAACAGCAGAAATAAATGCAGTGGAGAAAGCCATGTTTAAAAAGTTTAGCTAAAAAATGTCTATTGAAGAGATGTAAGAGGTAGTTGGAAATGTGTTGGTTATGTTGTGAATTTAAAACATCTAGTGCCATACAGCGTTGTTTATATAGTATTCAATTTTTGTCTAGCACATAACATTGCCAGATTCAAAACAACAGATACATCGGATTAAATAGTTTAAACATGTTTATCGGCGTTGTTGCTGCTTTAAGTCAAAATGATTATAAACTACAAAATTAAAATATAGCGTAATCCAACGCGCACAAATCATCTATACAAAACCAATTTTTAAAATGGTTAAACTACAGTTTTTAAAATGTTGTAATTTTTAACAACTATTACTAGAACATAAAATCTTTAGAACGGTTTAAACCATGCTATGCCGTTTTATGCTAATCACAATAAAACAATTCCTTCTGTCGAATAAACCAACAGTAACTACTAAAATCACATAACTTATTTTTTTTGGGTAAACTAAAAAGTAAATAAAAAAATCTAGCCAACCATCTCGCCTTCTTCCAAATCACTAGATGCCGGCGGATCATCGTTGACATCCACGCGGTGCCTCGTACGCTTGTCCACCGCATTATCGACAGCAGCGACCGGGCTGCGCTCGCGCTTGCGCGCATCACTTTCCCTTCTCTTCCTCGTCTTTTGCTCCCTTTGGCGCTCGACCACCGAGGCAAAGACCTCGCGACACGCCGACTCGTCGCCCACAGCACGGTACGCGGGCAGACGCGCAATGCGCGACAAGTTTTGGTCCCACAGCGACTCGTGGTCGAGCGGCGGCTCAAGGTCGTACAACGCGTACTTGAAGTCGTCGAGCAGGCGGCGGCGCTGGCGCATCTTGCGCTCGTCGTCCTCGTCCCTCCTGCGGCGGCACTTTAGCACAAGCTGCTCATAGATGTACTCGACATGGTCTTTA